AATACATTTTAGTTTAATGAATAACACTTCACATTCATATTCCACAAATAATATTATCAATAAAACTGTATCTCTTTGTATATTTGTCATGTTTTCTTTCAAAGTATTCAGCCTACCCAGGTATTGCTGTCCTTTTTTGAAATGACAGCAATTTATTTGATCTGTTTGAAGTGCTGTCGACCGTTCACGTAAACAGCTATATTACCTACACAAATACGCATCAGGCAAACAGAGTTGCTTCCGGCTATTCGACTTGCGACGTCACGCGTATGAAATAACCTTTTTTCCGCGTAATATAGTTGATTCATTTATGATATGCAATTATAATAATATAATGCAACATCTTTAAAGCGTCCTATTATATTTGCGAAGGCTCATTGAAATGGCAAAGTTATTTCGACATAATAAAGCATCAAAGACCGTGTTCATGTACAGTGTATCAATGAAAACTGTTTTACTTAGTTTTTCTATACTTTACAGATAACAGCGTAGCACATTACTTTTGTTTACTTTTAACAAATAAACAGATGGCAATTTTGATTTGCTGCTGCACCATCGTGTTGTACGGTACGATGGCAGCCGTTGTGCGTGGTCGCCATCACTTTAATCGTTTTAAATGGATATATTGTCCATACTATTTCTCATTGATACATGATGTGTAGTCAAGTAAGTGAGCTATTGATTTATCAAAACACATACATTGTACCTATTAAGCTCCCACAACCGCTCTCGCAAGATGTAGACGAGAAACTAATATATTGAAAAATAGAAAGCAAACCTCAAACAGGCGACATATCAGAATTTAGAAGCCTTGGATTATGGTTTAATCTTTAAATTTTATTTGACCAGGATGAACTTTTATACTGTCACTCTAATTACAACTGTTGTGTATAACGTCATTTAAAGTTTTAAGCATGGCTACTACAATACTCACGCGTTCAATGTCCTATTATTTTTTACTGGTAAGCTAAACCCGCATTGCATGTCAGGGTGAAAATCTTTTACATTTTCAAAAAACAAACAATTCCACGGGTGATTTAAATTCGTGACAATTGATGATGTATATTTTACATCATTGCCACGCCAAAGCAACCTCTGACGAAACAACCTTCTGTGTCACTTCAGGTTTGCCCTTTTCTGTCCGCTTGGTAAACGGCGCGAGTAACAGTTCCGGCCGAGTGGAGGTCTTTCATGCCGGAGAATGGGGCACCGTGTGTGGTGTTAGTTGGGGACGTGACGAAGCTGTAGTTGTGTGTAGAATGTTAGGATACAATTACAGGTAAGTATCTGTTACAAGTAATGTATTTAGATGAAATATTTACAGAGGTGGGATACATTTCTCAAAAATTCTTATACTGAGAAACCTTGATTTTTTAAAAAGTATACTGATGATAATCCCGGATCTGATCTCCTTCCTTAGAAACTCGTTGATTGACAAATATATTTTATATTTTTTTATAAAATGTTATTAAACACTTGTTGTAAGAATAAGAGTTGTCTCTCTCATCTGTCATGCTATTCTGATAAACTAAATCAGAAAGCCAATACTCAATTCCCAAACCTAAAATTAGTATTTCTTCCTTTTTTTGCCGATCAATATAAAACAAGCTCATAAAAACATATAGATAATTTTATTTTATTATAGCAAAGCTCAGAGTGTTGGATCTGCGTACTTTGGAGCTGGCTCAGGACCTATCTTGATGGATGATGTCGCATGTGACGGCTCGGAACAAAGTCTTGATGAGTGTCCGTTTAGTGGTTGGGGAACTCATAATTGTGGCCATAATGAAGATGCAGGCGTGATATGTTTCACAGAAAATCACGGTAACTTGTATTAAAAGGACTTAGCAACACAAGTCAAGCTACTCTATAGCATAATATACTATATAATGTACATTTTCGAATTCCAATTAATATTTGTTTGTTTGTTTGTTTGATTTTGTTTAACGTCCTATTAACAGCTAAGGTCATTTAAGGACGGCCTCCCCTGTGTGCAAGATGCATGCGTGTAGTGTATGTGTGTGTATTTTGGGAGGCTGCGATATGTTCGTGTTTGTCTCCTTGTGATAGCGCGGAACTGATGCCGACTTTATAGTGCTACCTCACTGAAACATACTGCCGAAGACACCCAGCAGGACGCCCCACCCGGTCACATTATACTGACAACGGGCGAACCAGTCGTCCCACTCCTAATTTGCTGAGCGTTAAGCAGGAGTAGAAACTACCATTTTTAAAGACTTTGGTATGTCTCGGCCAGGGGACAGAACCCAAAGCCTTCCTCACAGGGGCGAACGCTCAACAAATGGCCAAAAGTGAGGCATTGTCAAGGGAGACATTAGGAAGAAGAAAGTTATTTAGAAAGGAGAGAAGAGATAAGGTCCCAAATTTAGTCGCCTCTTACGATCATGCAATTGGGGGCAGCAGGTACAATTCTTACGCCCTACCTGCAGGGCGAGTAATATTTGCCATAATCATTTACAAACAACTGTTGATAATATCTATTTAACCAAGAAAAAGGTTTTATTTTCTTGTTAACCTAAGTTGTCATACGCCTATGATAAACGCAAGACTAAGATAATATAATTATCAAAATCACGCTGTTCTTCTTCGCGCTGTTACAATTGTCACGTGATGCCTATATGTCTTCGTTTAACAACAAGCTGCACGTTTTTGAGTTTCTCATCATATGGGTAGCTGTTCTATTTTGTCTATTCAACCTGGATATATTTGAGATGGATTTTCCATTTCTCAGTCTCCATTTGACCAACAGAAAATGAACAATTAGCACCGAAGGTATGCTATACACCAGATATTTATGTCAATCAATCAAATCCATCGATCTATCGACATCGCTCGTCAACACATAAACTACCATTTGACAGATTTACAATCACTATTTGATGTCAAATTCTCTGTAAGTTTAGCATAACATTCTGACCATGAAGTTGACAGGTTTGAAGTTGATCTTGAGTGTTAATTAGAAACTTTGGTGTAAGTCCGCTAGCAAACCTTCAAATTACTAGCATACTAACGCAATATATTTGTATATGTCATGTCGTTCAAAATTGTCCTTTTTTAAACATTGAAAGTGTAACCGAAATGTATGTAATGTCAACATAATTTCTAGACGGAACAGATGTTTACGTCCGCCTGAAAGGAGGGCCTGGGCTATAGGTATAAGCTAAAAGAAACTAGCAATAACATAAATTAGAAGATTAAGTTGTGTAATTCCTTAAGCGTTATCCTATTGTTTTGCAATTTCACATAATTTCTTTCAGAAACAGACTTTGAAATTCGCCTTCGTGGAGGCGCAGGTCCTCATGTAGGCCGTGTAGAAGTGTATCACAGTGGTCTCTGGGGAACCGTTTGTAACGACAACAGTTGGGACTACAATGACGCTATTGTAACGTGCCGGATGGTGGGGTACAGGTAATGTATGGCTATTTACATTAGTGTAAGAATCCATAGAAGTACAAAACCTGATTAGCTTTAAAGGAGAAAGGGAGTTCCACGTAGACGTCAACGTTCAACATCAACTCCATAATTTTGTCTTTGCAAATATCTTATTTATTCTCAATAAAAATTTGAAAGTCAATCATAACGTAATTCATGTCTTGGAATTTAACCTCCTATTTCTGTTAGCAGGCGATTAGTCAAAGGTATTAGATTGCAGTATTACTACGATCAATTAGTGATTTTTTTTGTAAGAAATGTGCCACAGTTCTTTTTATCTTTTTTAGGTAAACATAATAATATATGTTAGCAAGGTTACAGCAAAGAGTTTTTTTTATCACGTTCTCGTTTGAGATAGGAAAATATCATGCATAATACAAAATCTTCTTTTCGAGGTATCCCTAGGTATAATTACAAAATATTACATTATTTTCTATGTTTTAGATGAATCAATTTATTTGCTTCGGACATCCTTTACAAATTAGTTTATTCCTATATCCATCTTTCAGTGCTTGTCATCAAATATATCAGACATACGGTTATGACACAACAATTCCGGTACTGATGGCAGGTGTAAGCTGTAACGGTACGGAGGACAGTCTAGCTGATTGTTCCTTTGACGGATGGGGTCAAGTTGGTAACTGCAATAACTACCATGCTGCTGTTTTCTGTTATAACCTCACAGGTATGTACAAGCATACATTAGATGCTGTTTAACGTTAATGGAGATTACTTCAGTAAATATAAATCATTCTTTGTTTCAGGATGCTTGCTCCAACTTTTTTTTAAGTATATTGCGATTCATAGAAGTACCTTTTTTATATATATATAAAGAAATTACAACTATTACCAATACTATTAAAACAAACAATTATATGTATATCTGTTTCGTATTGTCGATCATATACATTACATTTATTATATATGGCTTTTAAACAAGTTTAAGAATGTTTTTTAGTTTGGACGAATATGTCCATTTTTGAACATTTAAATGTCATAACATTATTTTACCCGATTGAACAGAACATTTTTTTATGGTGGTAATTCGATATAACCCCTGTTTGTTATTCGAGGAGAATAAATAGCAAATGTCCCATTAGCGAGTCTTTACATAATCCGGATTTCATATTAATATTGTTATAAAGTTAAGGGCTCACACAACTAAATCAGCCATTAAGCAAAAAGAATTATTTACGATTTCAATATGATCAAGTTACATACAGAGCCTGTGATTAATTTAAAAGTTTAATTGATGACAGAATTTTTAAAGAATAAAATCTACAGATATGTAACCTTTGAAAAATGAATAGTTTTCGTAGATTTTTATATGTGATGGCGAATGTATTTGGGGTTAATGGTAAATGTATGTAAGGGGGTGTTCCCGTCACACTTCACTTATGGATCTAGACAAATGTCACTAGTGTTGAACTTCGAATATCAAAGGTATAAGCTAAAAGAAACTAGCAATAACATAAATTAGAAGATTAAGTTGTGTAATTCCTTAAGCGTTATCCTATTGTTTTGCAATTTCACATAATTTCTTTCAGAAACAGACTTTGAAATTCGCCTTCGTGGAGGCGCAGGTCCTCATGTCGGGCATGTAGAAGTGTATCACAGTGGTCTCTGGGGAACCGTTTGTGGCGACAACAGTTGGGATATCAGAGACGCTATTGTTACCTGCCGCATGTTGGGATTCAGGTAATTTATGGATATATACACTAGTATAAGCTTCCATAGAAGTATAAAACATATCAAGTGATAAAAACGATCGGCTAAAAAATACAACAAAACATGACGTCAAACTTAACTACAATCGACTGCAAACCTTTTACCGTTGCAAATATCTGGCTTATTATCAAACTTCTTTGTATAGATTGTATCCGGCATATCACTAATCTGAGAAAAAGTATAAATATTTCTCGAGAATTTCTGATTTTTTAACACCTATCTATACTGTTTCCCCATCTCTTATGATTTTTTACAACATTTATGGACAATTTAAGTTTTCATCTATCACCTGTCACGATAATCTCGCCTTTGATTACACTGTACACATTTCCACTTGCAGGTGATTTGTCAAAGATTAATTCAATACTTTGTGACCCCGTTTAATTGATGTTATTTGTAAGAAAGAATGCGTCAAATAATTTGTTCTAATTTTAATTTTAATCTTAATAAACAACAGCAATATACATCTAAGATGCCGAAGCTTTTTTTCAAAAGTAATTCAACAATTTAGAAAGAAGAATGATATGCAAATTTTAGAACATTATTTTTGAAGAATACTTGGACAGCACTAAGGAATACTGAATTACTTTAATTTTAGACACATCAACTCATTTACCTCTGAAATATTTTTAATATTTATTTCATTCTTACATGCATCTTACAGCACTTATCAACATATCTATCAGACCACCCGTTATGGCGGTCTAACAGATCCTGTATGGATGACAGGTGTAGACTGTAATGGTACAGAGGAAAGTCTAGCTGATTGTTCGTTTGACGGATGGGATCAAGTTGGCCACTGCAGTACTTACCCTGCTACTGTTTTCTGTTATAACGCCACGGGTATGCATTAACATATTTTAGATGCTGATTTATGCTAATGAAAATTACTTAATTAAATAAAATAAAAATAATGTTTTATTGAAAGTTGCTTGCTCATCATTTTAAAAGTATCTCTCGATTCTTAAAGTAGATTGTTTTGATAATTACAGTCATAACAAACAAAATCAAAACTATATATTTATGTATCTTTTTCCTATTTTCGATGATAAACATTACATTTATTAAATACGACATTTGAAATGTTTAAGACTGTTATTTAGTTTGGACGAATATGTTCAATTTAGTAACATTTATAACATTATTTTATCAGATAGGTTTGGATAAATTTATTTTGTTTAACGTCCTTTTAATAGCTAAGGTCATTTAAAGACCTGCCTCCATATGTATGTTTTGTATGCGTGCATGTGTGTTTATGTGTGCCGGAGGCAGGGTATGGTGGTGTATTTGCCTCCTTGTGAAAGCACGGATCTGATCCCGACACTAAAGTGCTACCTCACTACATTACCATGCCAAAGGCACCCAACACAGCATTCTGCCCGGTCACATCATACTGGCAACGGGGGAACCAGTTGTTGCCATTTCTCTAAATGCTGAACGTTAAGCAGGGAATAACAACTACCATTTTTAAGAACTTTGGTATGTCCAGGCCTTGAGAAAGAACCAAGTGCCTTCCTCACCTGGGCGAACATTCAACACTCAAGTCAAAAGTGAGGTATTACCAACGAGGCGCTAGGAAATATAAAAGATAGTTAGAAGTAGAGAGAAATATAAAGATCCCAACTAATGCAATTAGTGCAGCAGATTGATTTTGGTCGCCTCTGTGTCCCAAAGTAGAGGGCACAAAAGCAGTGAGAGATTCTCATCCAGACTCCAACAATGAACATGCCTAAGTGGAAAATATATAAGTTGGTACAACGACGTGCAGCCCGGTGGGTCCTTAACAGATATAATAGCACCTCTAGTGTGATCGACATGATATCAGACCTAGGTTGGAGGACACTGGAACACGGACGTGCTGACGCCAGACTGATACTAGTGTAAAAGTTTAGTAAATTTGTAAACTTTAAAGAGTTATATTTGACGTCTGTCATCATGAGCGGTATACCGGATGTTTATATACTGTTCGGAACTCAAAAGGAAGGTAACAGCGGAAATGTTCCGAGTAATTTGTCTTGACTACTGCACGTGCAAATTACCGTGTTTTGTCTATTTAAGCCGGTACACCTGTGTGCTTCGGCAGTCGGAATAAAAGTAGCTGTAGGTATAGGTCTCTCAACCGCAATAGGATAATGTTAGCGTAGATTTGAAATCTAGATTATGTGAAGAATGTTACCAGTCATAGTACTAGCAGTAGTTTCTCTGTAGTCATGTAGTATTTTTGTAGGAGTTTTAGAGTTGTGTTTTGAACCATGTCGTCGCCTATTTATTAGGCATATGGCCGTGTAGCCGTCAGTATACATATTCAGTTAGGTCTTGTACTACCTGTAAATAAAGCCATGTTGTTGATGTGTATGTGTGCTCGAGTGTGTGACCGCGTGGTCTAAACTCATGTCCCGGTGCGTAGATATGTCCATGTCATATTAATAAACTACCTGAATTTTATATTTCGGTGTCTGTGTTTATTTGCTTAACTTCAATCATATCAGACTGTAAGACCCTGACGGACCCAAGATCACCGAACCTGGGTGTTGGTTTTAAAGTGAAAAACCGATTCTTTTACACTAGTTTATAAAATCCGGAAAAACCTGGTCCTCGTAGCCATCAACCCAAAGGATCAGCTCTCCTCATCTTTGAGCACGCCTAATCCCTGGATATATTTCCTATGCTTTCGATCAAACTATCCTTTATTTGTTCCCATTCGTCCACTTGGTGTTGATCTTCGGATGAAGGACTACAAGTCAACCGGCAAAAGCAAACAAACAAATCCCCAATATTGCAGGGGGTTACCGCATTAGTCGCCTCTTACGATAATGCAGCGGGTAACAGCAGGTGTTTTATTTTCTCGATACCCGACCTACAGAGGTGATTGTACCCGATATAACACAGGACGTTTCATAATTTGGTATCACCACTGTTTGTTGTTTACAGGGGAATACATATTAAAATGCCATGTGTATTCTTCACATAATCTAGATTTCAAATCAATATTGTTGTATTCTATCTCATCATGGTGCAATGTTAACATGTTGCAGAAACAGGTTTTGACATCCGCCTAACTGGAGGGGCAGGTCCTCATGTGGGCCGTGTAGAAGTGTATCACAGTGGTCTCTGGGGAACCATTTGTTACGACAACAGTTGGGGCTACAAGGACGATATCGTAGCGTGTGGGATGTTGGGGTACAGGTAATGTATGGATATATACACTAGTGTAAGCATCCGTAGAAGTATAAGACATACCCAGTAGTAAAAACAATCGGCTTAAAAATACAACAAAACATAACGTCAAGCATGATCGACTGCAAAACTGCAAAATTTGACCTATTATCAAAATTATTGTATCGGTCACATATGGTTTATCACTAATCTGCGGGAGAGTATGAATATATCTCGAAAATGTTTGATAATGAACAATCATGCGATTCTGTATACAATGTACATATATCCGATCGTATGCGTTTTGTCAAAGAATAGCATATTGCGTTGTTACACCGTTAAAATGATATTATTTGTATAAAGGATTGCGTCTAGTAGATTACTAAATAAACAACAGCCGTATATTCATAACGCATACGGTTTTTTTACAACTTTTACTAATAAATTATAAAAAAAAATTAGTGGAATATTGGTATGCAGGTTGCATTACATTATTTTTAGGCATACTTTGACTTCACTAAAGAACACCGAATTACTTTTTGAGACATATCAACTCATTTACAAATGTACCCCTTAAACTATCTTGAAAAAATTGTTCATTCGTACATGCATTTTTCAGTACTGGTCAACCAATATATCAGACCAACCGTTATGGTAGTCTAACAGATCCTGTATGGATGAGAGGTGTAGACTGTAACGGTACGGAGGACAGTCTAGCTGATTGTTCCTTTGGCGGATGGGGCCAAGCTGAGCGGTATTGCAGTTACCCCGCTACTGTTTTCTGTTATAACGTCACAGGTTTGTTTAAATCGATAACAAACACTTTAGATGATGTTTAACGTTAATGAAGATTCCCTTTTGAAAATGCAAAACATACATTACTGAATGAAGTTTGTTTATTCATTTCCAATCAGCTCCCATTTTTTGAAATAGTAAAATAAATAAAGCCATTACTACCATTATCAAAATTACGAAAACAATGAAAGGATTGTATACACGCTTCCTATAGTTGTTCATTTATATGAAATCTACTTAGAATTACAATCAAGGTTTATCAAGCCCCTTAGATGTATTTTCCACCCTTAACTCCAACCCCTGAACAGTCATATTCAAAGACCCCAATTAAAATTCGGAATTCATATATATAATTTGAATATAACGACCATGTTATTACGATTTGAAACGCAGTTTCCTGTGGTTGTTGATATATATTGAATTTATTCAAAAACTCAATTGAAAATGTTTCAGATTTCCATGTACTGGAGGACGATTCCTGGAAATTACCGCAGTATTATGTATATTCTAAACTCTTAAAAAATATCTTCGTTTGCCCAAAGGAATAATTTGAAATCATTTGATATAAATATAAATTCTTTCACAATATTTTCCCTTTAAACCAAAGCAGGTATTTTTGTTTAAAATGACATAATAATAGTACGCAGGATACGCAACACGAAATGCCATTGGTGTATTTTAAAACAATACGGATTTCATGTTTTGGGATGAAATACATATTTTTAAAATTTATATAAAACAGGAACAGACATTCACATCCGCCTGAGTGGCGGTTCTGGTACCCATGTCGGCCGTGTTGAAGTCTACTATAGTGGTAACTGGGGTACTGTTTGTGGCGACAACTACTGGGACTACAGGGACGCTGTTGTAACGTGCAGGATGTTCGGATACAGGTAAATCACGCGTCATACCCAAAGAATAAGGTTCAAATCGATGACTAAACATTTGAGCCATGGAAAGCCCTGCGTACATACGAACTCTTAATTCCCGGGAACAGTAAGTGAAAATTGTTATTTATAACCTCACACACACAACCTTCCGCCCTCTGTTAGTGACCAACTGTACCTGTAGATATATAATTGTTCCCTTCGAAGAGGGATGTAGGCTATCGCTCGTTATACCACTTGTTATATCATCATGTGTGAGTAAGTATTTGCTTGAGTCAGCAGTCGAACCTCAAGGAACTAATGCCTGGATTCGCTGCATGAGCAAGGGACAGATGACAGGAGGAAGGTAAACATTAAAACAATTTATTTGCATCCATACTAATAATAATGTATATGTCTCTGATCAGCGACACCATTGATAGCTTTCGGTAACGGGTGATCGGACGTCCCAAATGGATGCCGACAGTAAGTTGTAGGTATATCCTTGACGTTGGGCCAGCGGTCGGTAGGATAGAACAAGAAAACGTCGTGGACATACAAAATTGTACATAAAACGACGATCATTTGTTTCGACTGCTTAAGCCGACCTAGCCGTAAAAGACGAACGCAATACGGACGTAGACCAGCTGCGAGCCAGGCGCTTGGTGATCGAACGGAGGTCGGACTGTTGAATAATAATAAAATTATAACGCAATTAAAAAACTGTAGCATAATATCTTTCCAAGTCCAAACTTTATCTTGGCATTTACATGATTTCTTGTGAAAAAATTGTTATGGATTTTATTTGGTATATCACTTTTCTGTTGATTAACATAATACTTTTACATTGAATCTGTTCAACTTTGCTTTCTTACATGGTTTTCTATAACATTCATGAATATTCGGGCATTCATCTTTTAATTCCTTAACGCAAATCCTGTCCGAAATCCGTACCATATGTCCTAACTAGACTCCCCCAGTACATACAACAAAATGGCGGACAATCAATATTTGTTTTCATCTCAATGTTTATTGCTCCTTTGTTATAACAGAGTAATTTGAAGACAAATAAAACAAAATATTTAAATGAACACATACATGTAAACATCTAAGTCAGTTACATCCATAACGTATACATTTAGTATTCCCACTTTCCTCAGTTCTGATTACTATTAATGCATACAAAGAATCGTGTATAAAACGTTTCTCAGATTATAGTGTACAAATTTGCCTAGAAAAGGTAGCTTCAATTAGTAAAAGGCTTGAACGTTACCCGTCCTTGGATAGAAAGCCTTAAAACCTTTTCAGAAGAATTTTAAACGATGGTAGTTTATACCATAACACCTACACATTCAATTAGTAGGCATCGGGAGAAACTATCATTAATTTGAACAGTTATATATTAACTTCATATGTTTTTGATTGACTTTTTATTTTTATTTCAATATTCTGATTAGTTACATAAAAAATACAATGATTTCCATTTTTCTTTTTTACAACAATGCCATCATTTATTCAATTTTTCTCATTACACTTTCTCATTTTCTCACCACTGATACAATATATCACCATAGTTACAGTATATCATCATAATCAATATATTTCCTCAAAGAGGTGTAACTGCTGCAAGAAATAATCAGGTAGCCATGAACCAATGTTATTGTTTCATGTCGTTGTTCATAGACAGACATATCTTTATTTTCGCAGTATTATGACTAACTTGCAGCTGATTATGACTGAAATATCAACATTTGTCCGGCAACGAAAGATACGATTCACTCGTTGCAGTGCGGGTCCCAATTGGGATTGATTTTGGTTACGATTTTTTTTAATTACGTGTAGTTGTATCTTTACTTTTTTTAAATATCCACAATTACTTATATTAAATATTTGGTGATGAATTTACTGGCGTTTGTATCGAATTCAGTCACCGCCATATTATTTATAACGGAGACCACAAAACGCAATATAGTGAGGCAAATTCCAAAACAATATGTCACATGATGAAAGCTGTGTACTCTGTACCTATTAAAATCTTTCTTGCCAACTGATGGGTGCTGATTTTTGCAACAATTAATTGGATTACACGACTGTTGTGTGCTATAGCCAGTTAAAAATAAGACAGGTAACGTCGAAGTCTCTTGTCGTGTATGCACGATAGCAGGAATGGGACGGCATACATTTTTGTCGTCTATACACGACAACGGGGAACAGGAAGCACATATTGTTCACGAAAACAGTACGGAAAGTACGGAAAGAGTTAATCATCGGTTTATATACATACAAATTGTATTGATTTCTGCTTGCATCGAATCGTTTTGTTACTTCGCCTAGTTGAGTTATTATCTTGGTACCACTGTGGTATATTGAATAACTTTCTCAAACTGTATACAGTGTTACTCACTTGCCTCTAAAACTTTATAAAACCTTGTTACATATGTTTCAGCACTGGTCAACAGGCCACCGATTATTACAGTATGATAGATCCTGTATGGATGACAGGTGTAAACTGTAACGGTACGGAGGATAGTCTAGCTGATTGTTCCTTTGACGGATGGGGACAGGGTGGTTATTGCAGTAGCTACTCCGCTAGAGTTTTCTGTTATAACGTCACAGGTATGTATATTTGAATCAATAGTCCAGATGCTTTTAACGAAATAGAGGTCAAAATATAAAGATCGAAAGCTTATATGACATCTATTTGATATATAGTTCATTGATTTGACTGCTTGATCTTGATAGTTATTTTTTGTAGCAGCATGTTTTAATCATTTTGTGTGTTTCATAACCCGCTGTTATAACGCCATAGGTTTTCATACTTTTTTCATTAGCTCAACTGTAATCGTATTGTTGTGTTGTGATGTAAACTTAATTTTCAAACAGCACAAGACTTTGACATCCGCCTGAGTGGAGGCGCAGGTCCCCATGTCGGCCGCGTGGAAGTGTACTACAGTGGTTACTGGGGAGCTGTTTGTGGAGACAACCACTGGGACTTAAGGGACGCCAGTGTAACGTGTCGGATGTTAGGATACAGGTAGTTCCAGGATATTTTTCTGATGTGAACTTCCGTAGCATTAAGAAACGTGTCAGTTCATTAATTCAATGGGACGAAAGGCAATTGCAAAAGGGATTATGGTATCTCATGTAAATTTAAACATCCACAGCAAAAGGTTATCGTTGCAAATACCTGCCATTTTCTTTAGAATATACTTTCTCATTTATATTTAGCAAAAAGCAATATGTGGAATCGTATAAATGTATATTACATTAACGTTTAAAGTTGGATATCACCTTGCAGAATGTAGAACTTAAATTTCGAGGTACAGTTGCTGTATACCTGGGTATCATTGTTGAATATTGATTTATTTACTTCTCGAATTATTTGCATCTCAAACTCCTTTAAACCTACAATATACATATAACTAACTTTCAGTGCTAGTCGTCATATGTATCAAACCACCCGTTATGGCGGTCTAACAGATCCTGTATGGATGACGGGTGTAGACTGTAACGGTACGGAGGACAGTCTAGCTGATTGTTCCTTTGACGGATGGGACCAAGTTGGTCACTGCAGTAATTACCCTGCATGTGTTTTCTGTTATAACGTCACAGGTATGTTTCACAACTGTAGACGGTTGTAAATGATGAATACAAATAAGACCATTGGTTTGGACTCATTGATATGTGATGTGCATATAACAATTCATGAAACTATCCTTATTAAAACTTGTCTCAGGGCGATATATCTTATACTAGTCAAAAACAGGGAGTTGTGTAGGCTAGGTCATTTTCATGTAAAATACAATAGGTTCCTTTTAAGTTTGAAACTATTTTGGTCGCTCATTACATTTTACAGTTAAAAATACTTAAAAAACTGAATTATAATTCGAAAACTTGTTATTGAAATACGTATATGTCCTTTCATCGGGCATGTCCAGTAAATTTTGTCTTTTTCACAACAACTATCTTATTCAATTATAGCCTTTGGCTGAGGTCGATACCTGGATGTATCGACCCGAGAAAAGATATACAAATGTATTGACAGAGGACGCAGTCCGAGGTCAATATATCTTTTCTCGGGTCGATGAATCCAGGTATCGAACGAAGTCAAAGGCTACAATTGTTTTATCATTTTCAAAACAGTAATGTTAGCAATCTGAAAAAAAAATCACAGAAAAACTCTACGGAAGCGGGATGATGCGTTTGTTTGGAGTCGCGTCGTACGTCTATTTTTAGAAACACCCAGTCCTTAAACAAAAATCACGTGCTCCAAGTCAGTATCGGTTTTTATCGGTGGACACGTGATGCACTGCTGGCCAATGACTTGTCCACAGATAAAAACCGATATTGATTTGGAGTGCGTGATTTTTTTTAAAGGACTGGATGTTTCTAAAAATAGAATTATGACGCGACCTCAAACAAACGCATCATCCCGCTTCCGTAGAGTTTTGCGGTGAGTTTTTTTTCAGATTGCTAACATTACTGTTTTGAAAATAATAAAACAATTGTAGCCTTTGACTTCGGTCGATACCTGGATTTATCGACCCGAGAAAAGATATATTGACTTCGGACTGCGTCCTCTTTCAATAAATCTTTTCTCGGGTCGATTTGACTCCTTCAGCATATTGATACATGGAACAATGTGTTAATGCGCGTACATGACGACCATAATAATTGAAAAATCATATTCGAAGGGCTTCCAACATAACTTTATATGATATTTAAAATCAATGAAAGGTCGAGAAATAGTGTTGTTCACTGTGGAGTTTCTAAATATATCGATGTAGTTTCATAGGATCTATACCAGCATAGCTATCACGGCTACAGTAGCTACCATCGTAGAAACCCGATTCGAATAGTTTTTAAGAGTATTTAAATATTTTTGGATGTAGATATAGGGAGTGGCCTTCCTTTTGAAGGCGTAATAGACAACATGACAGCAGTTAAGAATTAAATACGATAAAAAACATTGGAAATACAAACGTCACAGTGGTAACTGCTAAAAAGTTTGTGATAAGAAACTAGATGCCTTCGTCGATTGGATTGCAAAATGCTAGGCATTTGACTACGAGGAGTAAAATAGGACTGTTTCTTTTGTATACATGAATTTACAAATTATTCTTGAAATCGTTTTAAAACCATATCGCAACGACAACTGACACTTCGTTTTAAATTAAATGTTTATGATTTATTATAGAAAACATTATATATTTATAAAAAAATAATGTAATGATTTCCCTCATAAAGAAAACTCTTTTCTTCTGATGCTGCTGTGTATAATAATTGTATTAGTAATAAAATAAATTGGATAAAGCCTCATTTGCTTAATAAATCTAAAGAGTTTTTAATACATTTACATTGCTGTATTTTCAGCTAATTCTAACATAGAAGTTCGTCTAGTAGATGGACCGTACAATTATACTGGCCGAGTCGAGGTGTACTACGGTGGATATTGGGGAGCTGTTTGTTCTCAAAATTTAGTTTTTAATGATAAAGACGCAGCAGTCGTATGTAGAATGCTTAATCATAGGTAAGATATATTTCGAAAATCAAATTACATACGTGGTATAAGATAATCAAGTACTTTTGGAATGTTTGTGTAAACATTGAAGATAAAAAACAAGTAAGCCAAAGAACTTGATGCATAATTTTCCCTTAAAAATACGCTATGAAAACTTTGCTATTTTTTACAATGAATCCAAACACCGTCAGCAACAATCACAATTTTCTTGAATTTCAGTAATGGTCGGGCTTTATCGCGTGTTTCCAATGTCCCTAATGAACCAATTTGGATGGAAAATGTAAGATGTAACGGTACGGAGACCAGTCTTGCTGACTGCCCTTTTGACGGCTGGGGAAATGTTGGCTACTGTAGTTATCAACCTTATGTCACGTGTTTCAACGTAGCAGGTAACTATAGAAGTTTATAGAATGTTGTTTGATTATCGAACAAATACAAAAAAAAAACAAACGATAAACTAAATACTGTGTTACCGTTTATTTTGATATCATTTGATTTATCATTGGCTCGTACTGTTTAAATATTCGTATTAGATTACATTTAAATGATAATAGACCCAATTGGAAAATCAATATTATCAATAATTTTTGCAAAATCTGTTTGGTATATCTATAAATTAAAATTGATATTTTTTTCTCCCTTTTATATATAAGGTTTTTTTTTCGACGTGTAAAACTTGAATATTTTGGATCGTAACAGGGTTTCTTGATGTTTAAAAAAAAATATAGTTATCTGCATAGCTTTTAATTGTTTTAGAACGAAAATGTTAAATCTTCTTCGTGTAGTGTAATACAACAAACAGCCAGAGAGAAAGATAAATAAAGGGGAAAAAATATAAACAGAAACTGTTATACAATTAATATCAAAAGATTCTTTAAGAACCTATCATTTAAAGCAAGCCTGACATCAATTTAGGATAACCATGTGATATTTTTATTGATCTGAATGTTTTTTAATCCAAAAAAGCTTTAAAAAGGACATAGGCATATATACAAAGTTATACATCTCTCCCTTATTCAGCTAATTAAAGTCTGACTGCGTGAAAATTAATAAAAATGTTTTTAAACAAAAATAATTTAATGATTTTCCTTATAAAGAAAACTCTTTTTTTCTTCTGCTTGCGTCATTTCTAGCGTACAACTTAAATGTACATAATTTATTGTTGCAAAAAGGCGAAACTTCTTATGCCTGCTGTGTATATATTTGTATTAGTAAATCGATAAAACCACCCATGCTCAATAAATCTTTATTTTCAGCTAATTCTACCATAGAAGTTCGTCTGGTAGATGGACCGTACAATTATACTGGCCGAGTCGAGGTGTACTACAGTGGATATTGGGGAGCTGTTTGTTCTTACGACTTTGGTGATGCAGACGCAGCAGTCGTATGTAGAATGCTTAATTATAGGTAAGGTGCATTTCTAATTATACTTGACATAAGATAATCAAATATATCTCCAATGGTGATGAAAATATTGTGGAAAAACAGATAAGTGGAAGAACACTTTGGTCTTTTTACGTTGAATCTAAATGCTGTCAGCAATAATGACATTTAACATTTGTGACTTTTCAGTAATGGCCGGGCATTATCGCATGTTTCCAAAACCCCTGAAGAACCATTATGGATGGGCAATGTGAGATGTAACGGTACGGAGACCAGTCTTGCTGACTGTCCTTTTGACGGCTGGGGAAATGTTGGCAGATGTCATTATCAACCTTATGTCACGTGTTTCAACGTAGCAGGTAACTATAGAAGTTTATATAATGTTGTTTGATTTTCGAAAAAAATACAAAAATAACGATAAAATAAAGAACTGTGTTAGCATTTATTTTGATATCATTTGATTTAGCATTGACTTTTTCGTACTGTCTAAATATTTGTATTAAATTATATTTCAGTGATGATAGACGTAAATATAAAATCAATATATCAATCTTTGCAAAATCTGTTTTGTATATTTATAAATTAAAATTGATTTTTTTTCTCCCTTTGTTTGTTCACTTTATTTGATGTTTTTTAAATGACGTATTGTCAAACATCGTATATATATAAGTTGTATATGACGTCTTGGTGCACTGTATACGTCGTTTTTCAGTTTTGTATTTCTTTATTGTGTTCGAGCTAAAGAGTTTGAAGAGTTAGTGTTGATTTACCTATATAACATTGTCCAACATAACGTAACATTGTTGATTGATTAGTTGTATCACTCTTTATATTAACATTGAAGTCTGTGAGATACGATCGTGAGACAACAATAATTTATAATACTTTATAAATGAGGTTCAAATGAATTCATCATGTATAAGGTAGGTACACTTTCTTTTTAAATCAATCAAAATGATACATCAGCCACGGACCAGCACAATCAGGTAGGTATATATATATATTTACTTATGCGAACTATTTCATCTACACTCTTATCGATTAATATATATATATATATAAGTATGTGTTGTATAATGTGTAGTATTGTTTAACGTACTGTTGTGAAAAAATGAGGTTATAAAATATTGACTTAATATACTTCAATTACATTTTGTTGATATCGTTGTTACATTTGCCTTATTCCATTAATTTAGAATAGCCATATTTAGTTTTGTTTAAACACGTGGCAAATGATTTTATACCACTAACATGTTTTAATGCCTTTTAAATATGTTGTATGTTCCTATAATTCAATTGTCCTGAACTATAATAACTAGTACCTTTACATGTAATGCACAAATGTATACATAGTACTGGCTTGAGCTGTGTTTGAATCTCCAAAATATTCGAAACGTTATTTCACATGGATCGAGATTCGCAATGATCAACATTATATTTCATCAATAAATTTTGAATAACGATAGAACATGTAAACATTTTTGTTGATTTTCTATAGGAAAAGCCTACATATTTTATTTCATCTGATCTTATTTAAATATTCCATTATGTTTCAGAAAAGACACATCGGACCCTTGCGGTGATCCACACACTTTTGTTTTGTATTGTAAGGATGGGGTAGGGTCTTAAACTGTAACATGTAATTGATTTACAAAATTAAACTCTGTAGCCTCGGGAAAGAAGATCTGCTATATCCCAACAGTGCCTAGTGAGAGGCGACTAATGCGGTCCCCCTTTAGAATTGTTTTCATCTGTGATTGTTACGGGAACAATGAAAAAAAATAAAAATGTAACTTGCGGCCCCCATGAAACCAGTATATCTTTTCATTTGTCATTCCATTTTTTTTCAATCGGAGTTGTCTTTCTGTTTACCCGTTTTCATTTGACATTGGCTGTTGCGAGAACATTTAACAAATCACACAATTATTTATGTCGAAAACAAATACGTTTGTTGGGCATTACACTGAAAAGGTAAGTTAAAACAATGCACTGATGACTCATAATATGTAATTTGATGTAATAGTATTTTCACTTCAATACGCGTTAAACATTTGTTTGTGAAAATGTTCTTCTTATATAAATAAATGTCTGATAGAAATGACAGCTGAATCTTTTTTCCCGATTTTTCCAGTTGGTTATAATATTGTAGAAGAGACCTCACATAAACTTGTTCAACACTTTCCTGGACAATCAAATACAAGCCTATATCTCTCCAGTTCCAGATCCGTAGGTTGGCAGGTCTCTGGACTAGAACGAACTGATTACGTTGGCAATCCCACCGTTCAACCAGGAGAAGTTTTGCTCCGTTCTTCTAACTGCACATAATAGCCGAGGCAGTCTTGGTCCATGAGGATGAACTCACACCTAGAGATTCTCCACTCGTTGAGGTTATACACTGTATTGAAAGGCTTTGGTCAGGCAAGCATTTTTTAGGACATGTCAGTTTGCATTGCTAGATCAATCAAGCCTTCTTGTTCTCGTCTTGCGTTGCTATTAAGTTATTTTAGAATATCGAATAGTTTTGTTTCTCCGCTAAATTGGTTGATATTAAAGTAAAAAATTGTCTGATTTTCATTCCCTTTTTTAAATTGTGATGATGGTAAAAAACAGTACACATTCATAGTGCACCAGGGTTAACACATAGAGTAACAATGTACATTTCATTAACATTTAAGATATAATATTATCATGCAGAATGGAATTCTTTTATTTCGAGCTAGACATGAATAACAATCTTACTTGCAACTTAGCTTCTAATAAAATCCTTTATCTACCTTTAGGTACTTTAGGTCAACAAATATATCGCACCACCCGTTATTGCTGGCTTATCGATTACATTTGTATGTATGGGTGGCAGGTGTAATCTGTAACAGACAGAACTAGCTGAATGGGTTTGGCTTCCGGGACACAGGTAAACACCATTTGGATGATAGCCAGATGACAGACAGAAGTTTTACCTGGCCTGTGGAAATGCAAATGTTGCTGTTTTCACGTGTATTTGATGTAAACGCCGCTGTTAATCCTATTAAATGAATACGGAGCATTCCACCCCTATGTTTAGGATTCACACAATTACTACATACAATAAGCAAGTGTTTCATACGATTATAATCCCTACCTATAACGTTTTCGATCAAATACAGTAATTTAAACATGTAAATATTGACATATCTTGATTGAATTTAAATTTATTAAAGTATCTAGTTCAAGTTTATTTTAACACGTGATGGCGGTTTTATTTGGGGTCAAATGTCAGAGGGTTTTCTCTACCAGCTTCACCGGTTTGGCTTGTAAACTTCCGGTTTTGAAAAGCAGAAGCGTTTAAAGCTCTTATGTACCAAAAAACTGCAAATTGCCTTTTGAAGCCCTTTTAAGGTATGTTTTAGTGAATCTAGTTGTTACTTATGTTTTACTTCAAACATAAACGCTATTAGCTCAAAAGCTTAGTAATAACATATAGTAAATGATTTAGTTGTGTGAGATATTTAATGTATATGTTTTTATGCACGTCTATTTAGTGTCTACGTCGTTGTTCACACGTGTACTTAATGTAAAGGTAGCTGTTCATACATGATTAATCAGACTCTGAATGGAAAATATGTTTTATTCCAAACGCAAATTATATAATAAGCAGCAGTAATATAATATTTTATTTATAAAGACACCCGACATATGTTAATGTAGTTAAAATGTCATGTCTTGGAAGTTAAAATAAAACTACAAGGTACATAGTAACGTAATGACAACGGACATAAAAAAATAGTATATTAATACTACATTCATTAGAGTTTGAGAGTGCCTAGGGTCACCCTGAGGGTATCACTGTCACCCAAGGCGAAGCGACGGATGACAGTGATATCCGAGGTTGATGTAACAGTAGATATGCATCTCGGAAATCGTGTATGTTTTACCACATCTTTTAAATTTGTAACACGTAAACATCGCATGTTGGCGATGCAAGGCCGTTACTGTTACTAAAAGGAAACTGTGCATGCGAAACAATCGATATCGTTTCATTTCTAGAACATCCAAATAATAAGCTTATCATGTTAGCAATGTTATCAATTTAGAACGAGAAGCGCCTGATGTTTACCAGACTGTTACTGTATGCTCTTGGTTTCTATTCCCTCAGTTTTATCGATAAAGAGTTCTAATTATGTTTTTTTTCGAGACTTTGGTATTATCTTGTTGTTTTAATAATATCACTAAATAAGCGAAAGGCTATATAAAGTATTAAAATGTAAATTTTGTACAATATCTTTATAGTTTGTGAATGTATTGATGGGTTTATCAGGATTAGTAACAAACACCTAGCCAAGTCCTTCAATTTCACATTCAGATAAATCTACGATGTGCTGTCTTTCCACGAAGGTAGGACAAAGGTGTTCCCCATGAAAATGCTATTTAGTGTAAGTTGTAGTTTTGTTGTTATTTCCAGAGTTCTTGCTGTGGGGACGTGACGTTACTTAGATTTGACTTAGATTTACATGGCTGTGTCGTCGATGAAGCAGAAGACCCATACCCTTCCGCAACACCTGAGGTATTATCTTTGTACTTTTTCAAGGGTTTCCATGAACGTTTTCCTTTGTTCATCTATTGCCACAGTTTTATCGATAAAGAGTTCTAATTATGGTTTTGTTGAGACTTTGGTATTATCTTGCTGATTTAATAATATCACTGATGAGTCCTTAATTAGCGAAAGGCTATATAAAGTATCAAAATGTAAATTTTATTTGGTTTCTGTTTCGAGACACTTAAAGTTTCAAATATCTCTTTATTTTGTGAATTTATTGATGAGCTTATCAGGATTGGTAAGAACCACCTAGCCAAGTACTTCAATTTCACCTTCAGATAAATCGATGATGTGCTGTCTTTGCATAACAAGAACTCGATTGACCACATCGACCGTATATGGCCTCCAGAGCTTAAAATCTAGTGCACCACAGACTCATCTACTTCAGCCCCTTTTCTGGATCTTTAGTTACAACATGACCAACAGGGACAGATTACTACTAAGCTTCACGATGAGAGGGATCATTCAGACTTTCCGATCGTTGACTTTTAACATTCTTGATAGCAACATCCTTGCTTCCCTTAACTACAGTGTTTACATGTCACAGTAAATTCGGTACTCAAGAGCTAACTCTGACTATCACAACTTCCATGATAGATGTCGACTGGTTAAGGACAAAGTTATTCCAGGGATTCCAGAGAGGTGTGTTGATGAAGAATGTGGACAAGTTTTATGTTCGCAATCAGGATATCGCAGACAAATGTGCGCGGGATTTAAGTCCGATATTTTGCATTATGCTCCTTAGATTGTATCGTGGTTTTATTGTAAAAACCTGAGTTATCGATGTGGGGACGAAACATTATTTTTATTCGGCTTAGTTTTACATGGTGGGTGTCATCAATGAAGCAGAAGACACTTACCCTTTCGGAACACCTGCTCTTATGTGTTTTGTGCTTTTGTAAGGGTTCTTATTGTAATCGTTTACTTTGTTTAAATAGGTGTATCGATTTTGAGTTCGAAATAATGTTTTTTTTGACACCTCGATATTATTTTGCTGTTGTTGCTCTTACAAATAATTCATAAATATTAAATAATAGAAAAGAATAGAATGTGTCATTACAACTATAAAAGATCAATTTTATTCGTCGCATCGTACGAGTTATATGGTGCATTTTTGCGTCATTGCTGTTTCTAACTCATGCATATAAAAAACATTTCATTTAAAAAAAATGCCGTTAGAGGTGTCAACAAGTTAAAACTGACGTGGAATTGGCCGAAATGTGTTTATATTATGAATTCGTAGCTAAAAGCATTACAATGGCTAGAAATTTTTTCTAAGTTGAAAAACGGATGAACTACGATTATAATTTTGTTATGTAAATGAGCATGTGCCGTATAGAGATTACTAAGCAATTCCAAATAGCTGTTTGATTTTGCGATGGGGCCCTCGATCGATATTTGCCGTGGTGATCTATAGTACGGCCACGGCGTAAAACAATGCGTGATATAGTATTTCTAGATCCTTAAAATATTATGATTTTCGCATATTCGTTAAATAAAAGCAAATCATATTCACAGGCAAGTTGAAAGAAAATTCAAATGACGGTTTGTTTCGGGATAATAATAACTGAGGAGGTAGGACCTATATCAGATCAAATAACAAGAATATAATAAACTTTTTCCGTGTAAACAGTTATTTTCTGACATAATGTATATTAAAAAAGCGTAAATAAGGTAACAACCTTGGTCTACATATGATTAATTTATGACTTCAAATAGTGCCAGAAGACGTACTGAAAACTGAAAAAAAGTAATTTTATAAGTTTGTAAAAATAGCGACTGCTAGATAGTAGGAATACATTCATACCACAGAACTGCTTTTATTCTACAAGCTATACAAGTCTAAAAAGGTTAACAAAACAAAGTTGGGTTTCTGCCTTCAAGTGAGTTTTGACACACAACACATTCAGGTACTGTTGATTTTAATCATTCATCATTTAATATTAAAACCTATGAAATGCTGATAGTCTGATCACCGTTATCTGTAGCTGAGGCATTTAGTTGTTTTCAATTTAATTTTATAAAACAATTAAAGATGCATGTTTAAAGTTTCATTATTTGATATTGCAGCTGTTTGATGTTTGAGATTAATGTAACGAATGTTGTTTTTAATAAAAAAAAAAAAAAAAAAGTCAATTCGATGGTTTGCTGTATTAAATCAAAACTGATAAAAACTACGTGACCGTACGGTACGTACCTTGTTTGTACGATATATTCAATATTAGGTGTCTCAAACCAACGTATCTATAGTATATACTTCAAATTATGTCTGAACAAGCTAGATGTTTCTTTATTAAAAAACAATAATAACTGTTAGAGTTTTAACATCACATAACGGACACCATTTTATCAATTTATCATAGAATCAACGTCGTACGTAAATACCTTATTGATATTATTTATCTTACATGTTTGTTAAAAAGCGTGAACATTACTGTATATACTCATCAACACAAATCGACTAATTAATAATAATACTAATAATTCCAGGTTCTTATATACCGCTTAATCACAACCTAGTTCGTAGGTCGAATCAAAGCGGTTCACAAATTAGTATCGGTGGTTATAGGCCTTTCCAACCACCCAATATCTTTCTCAACTCCCTGGGGAGCATACAGCCAGTGCTATCTTTCACATCTTGCATTCAGCAATTCTAGTACTGCCCAACCACGTACTCATTTACAGCTGAGTAGACTGGAACAAGCAAAGTAAAGTATATTGATCAAAGATACAACACAGTGCCGTGGCGTGACTCGAACTAATAGTTCCTTCCTTGTATTTGATTTCCCCGCAGTACCCATAACATAATGATAATTTATCATATAAGCGTTGACCAACATACAGTGTCCGATACGACAGTGGGCGTATACATACATGCACTATTTTTAGACACAGGGTTATTAAATGCATGTAAAGCACTTTACTTATTAGAACGTGTAAATGCTGCGAAATGAGACAAGAGCTCAGCGTACCTTACGCACCATACATCTTTTACTTATTTTACAACAATTATGAAACAATCTAGTATGCTCTTAAGTTACCTTGGTTGTGCAGGGATACCATACATGTACCCTTTTTCACGTGCGATCGGGAAATCAAACCTCGCCCGTCAATTCATGATTTTAGTATTAACGTCCAACCCCAAACTTCCAGATTACCCCCTCCCCGCCCCTAAAACATCCTTGTGACAACTGAGACACCTGTAACACGTTCTGTGTTCTATGCTGCTTATTTTCAAGGGTTTCAGATTACATTCAATATTAGTTTTAAAAGTGAAAGAAAATGATGCGCTACTCATGATAACAAATTCCAAAGATCTATGTTACAAATAACCTTGTTTTCTTATTGATAGTTTTAGACATTTCGATAAATTCAGTGTCATATCAACACAAATATTGCTACAAAAATGATAAAGACCTTTTAAAATTAGAAATGCTATACAAATCCTATTATCGTATATAATACATACATATATGTGTGTGTCTTATGATTATTACCGCCATCAATATCTGGACGCGTCACTTAGCATAGGTAAAAGTAGGTGAAATACAGGTATTCTCATTTGAAATGGACTAAAATCTTTCCAAGTTTAAAGTTTTCAATTTCATTTGTTTCCTCAGACACATTATTAAAATGTATGTATAACGTTCAATATGATAATACACCAATTCAGTTTAGTGAAAAAATTAAAGGCAAGTATACAAAACACTCTTTCATAGGTTATATTGGGAAACGTACATGTATATACCCGTGTTTGTAGGAGGGTTGGTCATAACTGACATTTTGCCATTGCATTCAAAGGTAAGAGTTATCGGTACTGTAATTATAGCTTACCCTTTTACTCAGGAGGCACGGTAGTACAGTGGTAGGACGCCGGGCTCGTAGCCGAAGGGTTGAGGATTCGAGTCTCGGTACGGTACTGTGTTGTATCTTTGAGCAAGATACTTTAGTCCGCTTGTTCCAGTCTACTTAGCTTTAAATGAGTAGGTGGTTGGGCAGTGTTAGAATTGTTGAAATTAGTATTATTATTACTTATGTGTAAGATAATTAGGTGTATAAACTGTCTAAAAACTGAGTGTTACAATACGGATATGGTTCATACATACTTATAGTTTCTTTCTCGAAAAAAAGTAAAATACTGATGTCTTTATTTGTCAAATGATGTTTTACGCTTATTTAACATCTATGTATCTATAAACAACCGGTGGTGATTCCTATGTAACAATCTCAACAGTGATTTATTTATGTATTTCAACGGCAGTTATTCTTGAAATAAGTTAATTTTTCGATTCCTCTTTTTAATTTTTATATTCATCAAAAAACATTACAATTCACCCTTGCTACACGTTGCCCTTAACTTTTTTCCGGAAGTATATGTCCAGTGGGGAAACCGAAAGTGTATCCTTGAAGCAAAGACAACTGTGTTTCAACCATACATGAACATCTTCATATAGTGAAAACAATCTTCATGTTTTATAACTTATTTATTTAGATAAAAACTAATATACGATCTGAGTTAAAAAGACTATCACATAAAATGTGATACTAACAGGCTTACAACTTCGTTCAGAGATTATCATACTATGACGACACAAGCACGCCACGCTCCATCGGCCTTCATCGGTTATTTCCGGAAGGATGAAAAATAACAGGAAAATCTTTGAACTGATGTCCGGTGCCTTTATATCTTTGTTGGTGCTTTTTCCACCGACACAAAAAGTATAAATGCGGATATTTTCTGAAGATCCTTTTTGTCATCAATCAAGTTCTGTTAATATGTCTCCCGGGAGATCTCTTCAAAAAGAGCGGCATTAAACCGAAACATATAGAGAAATGAGGGCCACTTTTCCTCATGAATATCAATGAGGGGCGCAGCATGTTTGATCACGTGATCATC